CATGAGGAAATTGACTTTTGGACCGCTTTTTCACGTAGAGTTCTCAACACTATTATGCCAGCATAGTCAGTTTTTAATAGCTTCAGTGGCTTTTATGGGATTTCCAAGAATTAATAATGATACAGCATCTTTAAAAGTTAAAGTTTTTAAAAATTGTGTGTCATCTTTTCCTACAGCTAATAACAGCAGATGTTTTTTGTAGTGCAGCTTAGTTAAGCGAATCACATTTTGATTAATAGGTTGAATAAAAGGCGTTAAATTTGGAGGCATATAAACTACGAATATTGAGCCATCAGCAGTTTTAAGTTCATCTTCTGGCGGATGACTAAGGGCATTATCAAGCAATAGGATAGCTTAGCAAATAATTTTGAACCTAATAACAATTAAAAACGAAAAAATACTCGGTAAAACTGTTAGGAATTTTAAATGTGTTACTCATGTACGTGAGGGACGAAGCAATGGTGAAACCATTCTATGAAGATATCTGCAGTTACACCATAAATTTCCGATTTTTTAACAATTTCAGATTTTTGCTTAAACGAAAGGAATTTTCTCGCAGACATGATAACACTTAAAAATTATTTAAATGCTAAATTTATTAGCACACAAAAAATAAAAATAAACACATAAAACTGCGCACATTCACTCACAAGCGTTTGGAACTCGACAAGCACCAAATTAACTTTAGCATCAAATAGTAGCAGCTTTTCTAGTAATAAACATAAAGTGATAAATTTAAAAGAATAACCGCTTTCATTTCCGTTTAAATTTGGTATTTTTTGTCAATTTATGCTAGCCGTTGCTTTTAAAATTTTGTTCACTATTTAGAGGCTTTCGATTGTTCACTATTTAGAGTACTCCGTGTAAATATTTCGGTGTTCACTATATCGAGGTGTTCACTATAGCGGGCATTCGCTATTTAGAGACACGGCTGTAGTTTTTTTTAAGAATAAGTTGAGAATTTGAGGGTGTTAGAAAAATTTTGAAAATAGTTTCGTGAACTACTCGGCCAGCTCTACGGCCAGCTCTACTAGGTCACTTAAAAAATTCGTGCAATTTTTTTGTTTTGTAACACCGTGTAATTAGAAACATTAACTGAAAAAATAAGCCCGCTATGTTGCGTTGGCCTATAACATATCGCAACGTGAAAATACACACGCATACAAATACATATATGTATGTATAGCAGTAAATTATTTTATTATCCGATTTATAAATTCATATTTTAAATTCTTATTGAATAAAACAAATCGTACATTAAATAAAATAAAACGTATATTAAAAATAAGTTTTTCTCTTTTGCAGATGTTATGCCACTCACAGTTTTTCTTGCTAAGGTAAGCTAAATTCAAATACACTGTAAAAAATGCTATATCGGAATGATTGCGGAGTCAGTCGCAAGAAGAGCTAATAGGCGGCGACAAAGAGTTTAATTGAAAAGGAACATGCGATCACTTCTGATCGCTTTGTATGAATTGTTTCTTTTTGTTTGGGCATGTCTTAGA